TTGTTTGATTCCGTACTTGATACACACTCAAACAACTCTGTCAACATGTAACGTTTAAAATCTATGTTTTTTTTTTGCTCGACAACATGACAGTTGTCATTGGTGACTTATATAGATCGCTATTTAACAAGAGTTCTTATACATTTATTATTTTTTATAAATCGAAGTTTCGTTTAATCATGGCCATATAATACAAATATAAATAGCTCAGGCTAAATTTAACTGACAATTAAAAGTGTAACAATGATGGAGATAATTTTTATTTTGAACGTTATCATTTTTCCGATCGATTTACTAGATAAAACGAGACAAGCGAGCGTCCATTTCGAATTTTAGGTGCAACTGTCACACCAAAGTCATGTTAAATTTAACTAAATCCAATCGTTTATGATTAAATTAGTTAAAAAGTTCTAATAGATTTCCATTTTTTGTCAATATATTTTTTTTAGAAGTACACTAATTTGATGATTAGACTATAAAGCAATTAGTGATGTATTTTTTTTAAACGTTGTTGATTGTATTGTATTCTCGTTATTACTCGTGCTTTTCCGATAATCTAGCTCAGTTTAATTGGAGATGAAATTGTTTTCATTGCCTCCTTCGATTATATACATATACATCTGTCGATTTGTATCGGCCTTGTTTATCTGCAGATAAAGGCTATCTCGTTCCCTCTTCATGTGTGTGTACGTGTGTGTATGTAGAAATCAATCAATTCATGTGCGGAGTCGACTTTAGATAGTCGCGCGGCGTGCGTTTCGTTGAAACAACTTCTGTCTTCAGACGCAGAGAAGAAAGTTCACAATAATCACAGACAAAGGGAATGTTCATTAACTGCAAAATCCTATCATCGTTGTACCGTGTTTTGCGTTACCGGCGCCCCAAAACCAAAACGAAACTGTTGGAATTTAACTCGAAAAATGTGAGTTGATATTATTTATGGTTAAATAGAATTAGACGATTACATAGAAAGCAGCTACCAAGTGCGATACTTTTATTTGTTTTTGTTGATGTTTATTTTGTAGGGAGGGGTAAGAAAAAACCTTTAAAATGAAGTGATCAATTGATGCGCGCGGTTTTCGCCCATTGAACGAAAGAGTGAAGAGGTCGAGAGAGTCAAATCGTCTCATTGAAATAATCGCAGATAAATCTGGTATAATTGCATTTTGTACGCGTTATTATTGCGAATGAGGTCACGGGTCAACGAGTTTGTTCTCTCTACTCTTTCTCTCCTCTTCACATATTCATATTATTTCCCAGGCCATTTAATTGCCCCGTCGACGATGTCTCTCCGCAATGGAAATATGTTTCGACCTTCCTGTTTCGCCTTCTTCCTCTTCCTCGCAATTGGTGCAGCAGCAACATCAACTAACTCTTCACTTTCGTCTTTCAGGAAAGTCTACAACACCATTTCCGTACACCTGGACGGAAAGTTCCACATTCCCGGGGACTCCGTTCAAGCGGGATTCAATGATATGCAGCTCTATCCTTCTAAAACTCAAGGTTAGTCTAGACGTCCAGTGAAAAATCTGAACGAACGAAAGAAGTGTAACGTAATTCGCTAATCGGCGACGACGTTTACTCGTTAATATTCCTCTCATGCAGAAATTCCTTTTGATATTCTCTCTGTCTGAGACGACGCACCGCGGCGCTTCTAGCCTCATTATCGCTCATTAGCCGATGAGTAAATGCCGAGGTGATTCACACGTCCACTACATGCTACTTACTACTGGCTAGCTTGATCGAGGGGGGAAGAAACAAAAGACTGGAAAGAAACAATTCGATTCCGCTTGATCCAGATCGCGATATAAGAAGCGCGCCGCAACGCGAAAAACGCTCAGTCGACGCGCGTCTCTTGCGTTCGTTCGAGTTTTCGCGCCACCTCCGATCATTATTTCGAATATAATTTTCGAAGCGAATAATGCATCATTTCAACCGCTTTCATAACCGTACATTCACAAACAACAATCGCGTAAGTTTTCAATTTATCCATTTGCACAAAATACAATGAAGCACACATTTAAACTGTTCAACTTGAATGCATTTGATTCGCGCTCAAACTAATTGTTTAAAACAATTTGAAAACACGCACGTTTGGTTGCCTACGCAATTCCCATATTTTACTTTCAGCTGCGCGTCAGAAGCATTCAAACTAATTCGAACTTGTCTGAATTGTATCATAATTTATACAGAAGCTGAATTTGTGCGTATCTAACGCTTGTAACTTCTTGCATCGAAAGCAAATGCGTTTTGTTTATATGCGGCGTATGCAACCATCGGTGCGGCTCTCTCCTAACCTCAACTCTATCTCTCTCTGTACGCGAACGTCAGTGTCAAATGTTTTCGTTATTTTCGTAACGTCGTTAAATACAAATATTTTTACCACATCACAACAAGAAATTCGAAAATCGAATAAAGATTTTTAAAATGTGTTTTTAGTCACTCGCGAAACTCTTCGCACCATCAGGTGAGCGGCGGCTTTTTATTCTTCAACAAAACTGCTAGAGTAGAGTATTTTTACATCTTTTTGAAGTAATTAGGAGTAGTAGTTTAGAAAGTGGAGAGTTGGAAAATGGGAGAGGGCGAAATGGAAATGGAGGGCCATGATTTGATGCTGCTGTGGATGGTATCGAGCAGTTTTTTTTCATTTTGAACTGAAATTGTTATTGCAGTGTCCGAAATGCTGCAGTGCGCAAAGCAGGTTGGCAGGAGGAATGGCACTTCCTTCCTCACCTTTGGGGAGTTCTGCATATATGTGCGGGAGATGCAGAGGACCAAAACAATCAGGAAGTTGCCCACCCAGAGAGCCAACAACAGTAAGTTTTGGTGTTGTTTGCATGTGCGGATGATGTTAATTGTTAGTATTGTTTTTTTTTTGTAGAAAATGCTATCAGCAATTGTGAGGTCTTCTTGGGCGGCTCCTGCAATCCAACCACATGGAGGACTGACACAGCAATACCTGAGTTAAAGAAGCATGGCATCACTTATTACAATCCAGTGAGTATGATTGAAAGGAGACGGGATGAATGCATTGAATGAGTATGTTGGCAGTGAGGCTGCAATAAGGCAACGAAAGTGACACAATGCGTTTGTTTCTTTTTTACAGCAAGTGTCTATGTGGGCGCCGGAACTGGTTGCCAAGGAGCACGACGCCAAGCAGAAAGCGTCGCTGCTGCTGTACGTGGTAGATAGTCAAACGAGGAGCGTGGCGGGAATGATCGAAGTATCATATTTGGTGGCAGCTGGAAGGTGCGTCGTGCTGGTAACGCATCCGTACAGGGAGGGCCAAAGCATCATGGACGAACCCATCACGAACCAGTGCGTATACAAAAAATCTTTTTATTATTGGGTTTATATAATTCGATGTGTTTTGCAGGGAATATGAGGATCTGGTGAGCGGACAGACGAGTCTCCTGGCGTTGGTCAAGAGTCAGGGCATCAAAGTGCACAACAATTTAACCACGGCCTTACAATGCACCACGCATATCCTGCGTAACGCCACCATTAACAACGGGATGTCGGCCGAAGAGCAGATTACGCATAAGCTCAGGTATCCGTTTGTTGACTGTATTATGTATTCGTTACTTATTTGCGTTTGTTTTAAAGGACACTGAAGGATGCGTTCGATTCGGTGGACGCCGACGGAAACGGCGAGATCAGTCTTGGCAACGTGATCAACGCCTACTACCGACTGACCAACCGGATGATAGACGTCAGCCAATTGCTGTCGTATTTGGGCGTGGGCCAGTGCGATGACTCCGCCCGCACGCGAATCTCATTCGAGCAGTTCTGCGCCCTCGTGGCGGAGTTCAGCGCCGACGGCTGCGAGTCGTTCGCCTCCTCCGACGGTAAATTTTCAACTGCATTCAAGACCCTTAAAAAATGCATAGGTAGATTTCAAATGAATGGAACTTAATTCACTTAATGCACTGCACCCACCCGATAAGACGCACAACTCTTGCTCTAAAGATGATTAAACTGACGGCTCACTCTTTTTAGGTTGGTTCGGAAACCAGAGGAGGCGGAATCAAGCCGGCAACACCAACGGCAGAATCAAGGCGGAGCAACAGCATCACAACCAGTGGTTGGCGCAGGTGTATCTGGGCGGATCTTGCGAGACTAGGAACGGCTGGCGCGAGTCCGTCATCCCGCTGCTGAAGAAGCACGGCGTCACGTACTACAATCCGGCCATCAGGGAGTTTGACGGCATCTCCAATCTGAACGAGAGCGCTGTTCTGCATCGCAAGAAGAACATGGACAAGAGCAAGGTGCTGTTGTTCAACATCACCGAAGATACGCGATCCCTGACGACGATGATCCTCGCTGCCCACTACATCGGCCTGGACAGAAACGTCGTGCTGTGCGTTCAGCAGCTGCCCATCGACGGGCTCGAGATTAAAGGCGAAGCGGTAAGCCCAAAGTCCTATTAATTATCATCGAAAATCTTCATTTTTTATCGTTTGCAGCTATCCAAGCAGGCCATCAAGGACTACAATCGCGGCAGGGTTTACCTGTCCGACTTGGCGAAGCGTAAGCAAGTACCAGTATTCGAGGACATCAACGAGGCGATCAAGTGTGCCATCGATCGCAGCCGGTAGTAATTTTCTTTTCCTTCTATTCTAAATCTTTAAATTATTTATTATTATTATTTTTTTTTATTTTCTTCGCGAACATATACACAACAAAACTAAACGAGATTATAAATATAATGGTACGCGAAAGTCAAGTGAAAAAAAAAATATAGAAAGTATTAAGCTCTCTCTCGCACGCAGCAAAAATAAAAAGAAAGAAAGAAGGAAAACGGAGGAAAAACCGATTCCAAATTCCGAAAAGATATTCGTAATTTTATTATATTTAATAAGTTATTTAATGTACATATTATATATATTTACTATTTTTTATTCCCTCCAATCGAAATGAAGAAGCAGAAGATAAGAGTTTCGCGAAGGGAAACCCCGCCTCTTCGTGCAAGGGTTACGCCCATTCGAAGGCGGGGTTGTTAAATCCCTTCGACTATTGAAAATATGAATCAAACCAAAACAACAAAAAAAAACAACAACAAAAGAGATCTGTGCATTTTTTTTATCCAATGATAACAAAGTTATACTATTAGATTTTTTTTTTCTCACATAAAACACATACACATTTGTTCGTCCAATCGCGCGAATCCATCGATCGATATTTTTTTTTTGTTTTTCCGTTTTTTTTTTTGCTGTCGATGGACGCGATCCTTACTAATTATTAATTATCATTATGTATGTTTACGCAATATTGTAATATTATTTTTTTTTTCATTCTGTATCAGGGGAATTTATTTTTTTAAATTTCTAACCAATTAATATATATATATGTTAGTGTATTTTTTCGTTTTAATCGCTAAACAAATTATTATTATTATTACTACTATTACTATATATTTATATATTGCTGAAGCGGTGCCGGATATTCTGGCTTATTATAATTTATACATTTACTATACATATATATTAATTTGAATATTTAATAGCTCTTTGTATGTACGATTCTTATGCGCGTGGACTTTTCTCTGTGTTGATCCCGTCTGTGGGATCGACAGAAATCAATTAATCTTAGGTAGTAGTTGTAGTAGTCTTATGGTATCTCACGTAAACACAAACAAAACACACACACACAAACACATTTACATAGCAACAACAAATAATATAAAAAAAAAACAACAACAAAAAACACATACACACACCGAGTTTTACGTTGTTACTACGTTCTTTTGTTTTAATCTGCAGTACAAAATGATAAGTTTAATATACTAATCGACTTTTAAGCGTTTAAAGGAGGATTGAAAACAAAACCAATGAAATGGAACATCACATTAAATAAACAAAAACGTAAATTGTTTTCTGTAAATCTATCTATATATATATATTACTGTCTCTTGTAGCTAATCGATTGATATTATTTATAACATCATATTATTATTATTACATAATTTAATAACTATTATTATTTTTTTGTTGTTGTTTAGTTTCCTCACGGTTTATTGTAATTAAACAAAAAACATGTTAATATTCTAATTGTAATTTAATATTATTGTCTAGATGAGATGTGTATGTTTTATGTACACTGTGTTATTATTATTATAATTATTATTTTTTATATACATTTTTTTCTCTTTATTTATTTCGTGTTTTTTTTTATATATGTTTTTTCCTTGATTTTGTTACTATTCGAAATGATATGATTTCACTTCAAATATCTTTGATTTTCAAACTAACTAAATTACTGTTATTTCTGTTTACATCGAAGCAAGCTTCGATCACCAACGGCGTCGGAAATTAGAAAAAAAATAAGAGAAGATCGTAAGTGAATGACCTGTCGCATTTTGGTGTTTGTATTGTATATATTTTACAAGAGGAAATGTTTGCTTCTAAGAAGTTACTGGTGCTAAATACGTCCGACGGATAAGAGAAAAAGGTCAGTTTTGTGCATTAAATTGTAGACGTTCTTACATCTTTACTTATGTTGAGCAAATTTGCAAAATTTTATAAAATAATTTTTCGTTTATATTTTAACGGCAACCAATGTTGCACTTGGACTTTGAGTCATTAATTTTTATTTTTTCAAAATAATACAGAAAGTACATATTAAAATTATTATGCTATCATTTTGGTCTCGTTTACAGTTTGCATTTGTTGCCCTTCCTCGTTATGTTGATGTAGGGCTGGACTAGCGGATGCATACCGTGCGAGCTCTTAAAGGCTGTCACATCTAAAATCTGCTGGTTGCCGCTCTGGTGTTCGGCGGCTCTGTCATCGTTTTGGGCGGTACCGTTCACTCCGGCTCCTCCCTCCGCCGTAGATACAACGTGCACGCCCAGCTTGTGCCTCTCGACGGAGTTGAACTCGATCATCTTCGAGTAGAAGTCGATCAGATCCTGCTTGGTGAGAGTGCGGAGGTGCGCCACTTCGGCGTTAGCCCTGTCGAAGTGGTACTGCTGCGTGGAAATTTCTGCCCAGTAGTAGATCATCTGCGTGGATAGCTGCTTCGGTTTCTCTAGTCTTCTGGCGGCCAGAGCCTCCTTGTGCTTGTTGAATTCCTCCTCGCTCATCTCCTCCAGGTACTTCTTCATGCCGACCAGGAACGTCTCTATTCGCTGGTGCACGTACGCCGGATGCTTATCGGACTGGACGAGGACCTGCACACCTTGCACGCCGCTTGTACGTCGGAGGCCGCTGAAGACGATGTATCCCAGCTGCTCCTGCGTTCTGAGGATATTGAAACACGGCTCCTGGATGACCTGCGTGAACAGTTCCAAGGTGACGTTGCTCTCCTTGGTCTGCACGCCGCACTGATAGTACAGCACGACGCAGGACAGCTTGTGCACTTCGTTTTGCACCTCGTACAAGTAATCGCAACCATCTTCGAGTTTCAGCTCTCTGTTGAGAAGCAATTGCCTCGGCAGCAGCGGCGACATGTTTGAGGACTCCTTCAACTTTCCCTCGACGATGTCCACCAAATCCATCGCCTTCTGCCTATTGACGTTGCCATAGAGGAAGCTCTCGATGTGCATCTTGGATAACATCTGCGGAATGAACGCCTCCAATTGATCTACGGTCAACTCTACAAATTCGCACAACCGTATTAACAAAACAACTGAAACAACCAAAACAAACAGTTGACTTACGGTCCGTGGCAGCAAGTAACTCATGTTTCGTCCACGTGTGTTCTGTCATCAGCACGGCTAAATAGTAAATCGCATGTTGATACGGCTGCTCCGTCTTGAAATTCTTCAACGCTCTCACATACTTACAAAAAAAAACAAATTATACATAATTATATATCATCAATAATTCCAGCTTACGTTATCCTTGAAAATGTCGAATCTCTTCGGATCAATTTTAAAGTTAGTCAACTGATCCATGATCTTCTCAAGGAAGATGTGCTGCTTTTCGCTGAATCCGCTTACAGAAAGCTGCGAACATCATCAATCAACCATCACCACAACGACATTAATCAAGCACCGAAATCAAGAGAGAAAGAGCTTACAATCAGTCCGTATTTATTGTTGATCAGATCAAACTTGAGGCCGGCTAAGTCGGCCGCGTACGCGTACTGATTGAGATGATCGCGGAATAGCTGCGTGAACATGTGCGTGAGTGCGCAATTCAAGGGATCCATGTAGGCGAGAGGACTGGAGGAAAGTTCGTAAAAGTAAAGCAAAGAAGAAATTCGCATCAAATAACAACTTACATGGCGAAATCGAACATGGTAATTGCCCTTGGCAACAAGAAGTTGTCGTCTTGCTTGAACCACACCCTCGAAATAGGCGTGTCCTTGATTATCTCCGGAAATTCGGTGATCTTAAATAAATCATTAATAAATAAATTTGAGTATTTGATAAGAAAACTCACATCTTTGTCAAGTGGATAGAGATCAAAATTCTTAGGTATGAAATCGTTCTTCTTCGGCAATTGCAGTTCTTCCAATACACCAGCATTTTTCCAATCCTAAAAACGCATTATTAATTATCATTTTTAAAAAAATCACATTGTGTATCTATACCTTGATTTGCTCATCAGAAATTGTCATTTTCTTGTAATTAGTTCCGTACCACGGTTCTTTTTCTGTAGCTTCAGATTCGAACTTCTTCGCAACGATAGCCACCCTGACACATGAAGAAACTTAATAAGTTAATAGGAAATTAAATTGGAAATGCAGCAATAACACCTAATATTTTCCGGCGTGAAATCATCCAGCAGCTGCGTTATCATCTCCGGTTTCCATTCGGTCAATAAATAGTAATTGCAGAGGATATCTTCCATGGGAAATTGCTAAAAAAAATATTAAATCGATCAATCGATGATGTTCTTTGTATTTGGCAGATGGGAGAGAACGCACGTGCAAATTGTGAACGACATTTGAGATGTAGGACATCGGGGATTCTTTGTCTTTGAACCGGAAATTCATTGCTGCTATATCGCGTTGCTCCTCGTGCAGCCAAAGATGTGGTTCAGTCTGCTTCAGCATGTTGAAATACTGGAATAATTTTTTATTAAAGTTTCTATTTTATCTGATTATGTCATGGTCCGCGCACCTGAAAGACCATCTTGATGATGTCGTTTGTGTGGTCCAAACCCTCTTCGGTCAAATCCAAGGTGACACCGAAGAAGGCGGTGCCTCGCATCGTGGATTTGTAACCTGCCACGAGACTGTTGGACCATCCTCTCTCTTTCAGGGCGGACAGAAGACTTCCGGGTCCCTCGTGTCCAATCAGATTGCTTATATATCCGCTAGGCTACAAGAAAAGAAGCATAAATAATGCAAATGTAATTTATGGGACACCCTGTATATATATATATAACATGAATCGTTAGGCAACCAGTTAACCTTTAACCTAACTTTTCGTTTTTGTTTGAGTCGATCGTTGCAAGTAGAAAAATGAATGATCCATATGAAAGTTTGATTTCATCTGGTAATTACAGCTTCCTCTACACGCCCACATCTATACCGACCAATGAGACTGAAGAGTACTTCAACGAGGAGTACGTGGGTTGTCTTTGCACGGATATCTGCAGGGCAGACTGTCCATGTTATTCGCGCACTGGTACCATCTACGAGGATGGTAGAATCGTGCAGATTAACGATATGCCTTCGTATGAATGCAACGCGAATTGCTCCTGCGCCTCCAAATGTTCCCTCAAGTTGGTCCAATTCGGACCGAACAGTAACATGGATATTAGATGGACCGAGAAAAAGGGGTATGGTTTGTTCGCGAAATCCCGAATACCGAAAGACTCGTTTATATGCGAATACGCTGGAGAGATTATTGGGAAAAATGAAGCTGAACTGAGATACCACAACCGGGCAGTAGTGGGTGAAAGCAATTACATATTCTGGGCGAGGGAGCATTTCGGCGACAAAACGATTGAAACGATAATCGATCCAACTTCAATTGGAAATATCGGTAGATTCGCGAATCACAGCTGCAAACCAAACTGCAACCTGCTACTAATCAGGATAGATTGCGCCTATCCAAAGGTTTGCTTGTTTAGCAACAGAATTATTGATGCAGAGCAGGAAATCACATTTGATTATGGAAGCTGCGAATCCGTGCAACCGTCGCTCATAGAAAACCCTTGCCATTGCGAGGAAGCCAATTGCAAGGGTGTGCTACCATTCCATGGCTTCTGATTCCACATTTTAAAAATGATTATTCTAGGCAAACTTACTGAAGATTTGTAGTGGTCAGCCAAATCTGGACAAGGAAAGATAATGTTGATGCTTCTGTTATCCTTGATTGGCACCACATGGATAATAGTCTGGAGTTGATCATCCTTGAATGGATGCTCTTTCCATATTGGGGCATCAATATTTTTATCCTCAACCTTTGCAAACATTTCCACAGCCATAGCTTCCAACTCATCTAAGCTTTCTGTAATTTATAATAAAATAATTTTTAAAGTAATAAAACACACAATATTTTGAACACAACTCACCCTTTCCCAAAATAGCTAAACTCATTATATTTGAAGAATACCAGTGGCTGTGGAATTTCAGCAACTCCTCGCGCACGTTGAAGCCCTTCTCTTTTGGTATCTCCTCCAGCGTCTTTTTACTTCCAGTACCAAATTTGTGATAGGCATGTGTTGAGTCAGCGGTGTGCCGTTCCAGCTGATCTAGCCTCCACGAGTCCATAGATAAGTTCTTCTCATGCTCGGAGTGCACAGCATTCAGTTCCCTATCAGTGGCACTCTCTGTAAACAAGGGGCACAGGAAAAACTGTGAAAACCTGTCCAGTGCCCCCTTCAGGTGCTCAGGCAGTACATCGAAGTAGTAATTGGTGTGGTCTGGGTAAGTTGCTGCATTGCTGTGGCCCCCATGTTGACTCAAAAATTTACTATAATCATTCTCATCTGGGTACTTTTCTGTGCCCAGGAACAACATATGTTCACAGAAATGAGCAAGTCCTGGTATATGGTCAGGATCAGAAAGGTGACCTACAAAAAAAAAATAACATATGATATAAACAAAGTGAATAATCACAATTATTCAAAACAATTTACCAACGTTTACATCGAGTGCTGCTGCTGATCTTTCTGTTGTTGGATCACTGACAAGTAACACTCTCATACGGTTGTTCAATTCCAAACCTCTGTAGTTTCTCTTGTCTTCACTGGACTTGATAATGTTTTCAAACCTCTTGGTGATGTTGCACCCAGAAGTAGGCATCTTGGCAGAGACAATGCTTATTGAACTGTAAGCAAAACAAGTTTGATTGTTTAGCAATCAGATTAGTTTATCTCTACTTTCATTTGCGCTTATTTATATATATACTAATCCTGCTATCCTGCAATACACACACACGCACGTACCTGGCAGATAAGTATATCGTCGCTTTTATCCTTTGTCTCGTGAAAACCGTCCTGCACAATATTGTCCTTGTAAGAAAATGCATGTATCCAATACGATTTAATTAAACACAACTTTATATATATATATTTTTAAATTACTTTTAAAACTTCATATACGGACGTACATACGTTGGTAATGCAATTACCTTTGACATTACGTCTTACGTCACTTTGACTTTGACACTAGTGACAATCATTTTTTATTTGGTAATCATACCAACGCTAGAAACAATGAACATTATATTGTTTTACATAGAACCAATTAAAATTCGCAGGTGTTACTCACAATTAAATAGAAAATAGCAAATAAGTTGCGTTTAATTAGCAAATAGATAATTTATTTAA